TGAATACTGTCTGTATGTGTGTGAGTATATACGGCCTGTATGTGTTAGTGTATAAGGTCTGTATGTGTGTGAATACTGTCTGTGTGTGTGTGAGTATATACGGTATGTATGTGTGTGTATACGGTGTGTGTGTGTATATATATATATATATATATATATATATATATATATATATATATATATATATATACACACACACAAACCGTATATATATATATATATATATATATATATATGTGTGTGTGTGTGTGTGTGTGTGTGTGTACCATTGACTACGCTAGGGCGGCACCATCTCGTCCAGGGTTAGAGCCAGGGCTGTCGAAGCTGGTAATTTCGTACACATTTTGTACAGATGGACCCACCCTTGCCCGTTAAAAGTGTACCCTTTCTCTGCCACACTCGGAGGTTTGGTACGTTTGAGAAATGTTGCATCAATTGTCTAAGTTTTGACATTGTCTTGAACTTTTGAAAAACAAAGGGGTTGCAAGTCTACTGGAAATAAGCGTGCATTTGTTCTTGCAAACTGTCATGTAACGTGACTGACCAACTGCGCTTGTGTTTCTCAGTGTCAAATACCAGAGTAGAAGTGTCAGTCCAGACAACTGACAGATGGTTCTGTTATGTCTGTTGTAGCAGTGTATCTAATGCTCAAACTTTCTGATTCAGTTTTATTCCAAGTATTTTGTGATATTTTGTTATTACTTTTATAATTGTCCGTACCCCCGCCCCCCCCCCTTTCTCCCCGCCCCCACTCCTCCCTTTTTTTTTTTTTATTTAAAAGAAATTGTCCTGTGAGTTTAGGTGGTCAATATAAGCGAGCATAACATTATCAGTGTTAGCTTAGATAGTGATGGTAATTATGAGGATAGTACTTATGATGAAAGAAGAAAAGACTTTTCTGGTCAAAATGGACGCTAGGCAGAGGCACTGTTTAAAGCCGGGGCAAATTTTTTTGTTTCTGCCGGACGGTGGTCGTTGCATTTTTGCTCCATTTGTAGACTGGATATAGTTTCGTCGCCCAGCTTCTAAGTTGAATGCATGGCGTTACACTGTAAGCTGCGGGTTTCATTTGAAATGTTTTTCGACTGTGACCAACATGGTGGTGTGAATTGTAGATTCAGAAAATGGCGTAATGCTGTCGTCGCAATGTTGGTGGTGCCCGTAAATGATTAAAATTGATCGCGTGTGCAACTGCTGATCTGTTGGTAACTTCTGCTATTATCAATGATGAACTGCATTTCTAATGTCTGACTGTTTGTGTAAGCACTTCGGATGGCTGTCATATGCTTTTAATGCGTGTGTATGCTAGATATGCTGAGACAGCAGTCTGTCAATTTTTCCACAAGGGACTGTGATAAACATTCTGTGTGTTTTTCGTAGGCACAAGAGCGGAGCAACGATGGGGGTGACCCCTTTGCTATGAAGCTGAAACTAAGATTACAAGACTACCAGAAGGGAAGTAAAGCAGCAACTGACTAATGAAACGTAAAGGAAAGTAGTTTACACATGACAAATATTCTTGGAGGTTTTTTGTCGGTAACTACAACCCTAGCAAAAGTATCTGACCAAAAATACAACTGTGAACTTGCTAGTAGCCAAGTTCAAACTGAAAGGCATTCATTGCCTCGCTGGTAGACGCCTTCGTCGCCGGTCGAAACAGTATTTGGGTCTGTCTTCTTTGATCGCATCAACACTACAAGAATCCTTGTCAGGGCTCTTAGTGGTGTGTAATGTTAAGCCGTTTAATATGGCGCACATAACCTAGTCATAACTGTAACCTAAAATTACCCCTTCGGTTTCCATTCCATTCCTCTTCACACACAAAAAAGTTAATCACGTCCAACCTGCTGTTAGCCAGCCGAAGCTGCCAACAGTCTCGGTTATATTTGTGGTTAAAAGTAACGATTTGTTCGGATTTTTTAGCAAAGCACAACCGCCAGCACCAGATACTCACTGCACCCAGTGGAAGCCGCTACAACAGCTTTGTAACAAACTGAGCGAAACAAACAATGATACAGCATGATATAGCATGATACAAAATGATATAGCATGATACAACATGGTAATGCATGACATAGTATGATACAACATAATACATCATGATACATCATGATTTAGCATGATGCAACATGATATAACATGATACAGAATGATTTAGAATGATACAACACGATACAACATGTTACAGCATGATACAACATAATACATCATGATATAGCATGATATAGATTGATACAACATAATACATCATGATACATCATGATATAGCATGATACAACATGATATAATATGATACAGCATAATACAACATGATACAACATGATATAACATGATACAACATAATACAACATGATACAACATGTTACAGCATGATACAGCATGATACAATATGATACAGTATGATACAACATTATACAACATGATACAGCATGATACAACATGATATAACATGATACAGCATAATATAAAATGATATAACATGATAAACATGATATAACATGATACATCCTGATACAGTAAAAGAGAGAGCAGCAGTCAGAGCGATATGTTTTTTGTAATTTTTACTTTATTTTATTTGTCAAATCAAAAATTTACGAATAAACACATTCAAATCTGCAGTTATATACAACCCACCATTGATTGCATTTATTTGCCTACATTTTATACTTGTCAGTTTCCCGTCAATTTTCAGTCAATGGTTTCAATATTCTCATTATTAAAACACACCTTGTCAATTAAGGTATCTTTCCAAACATTGCCACACACACCTGTCAGGTATGTACTAGTTTCCAACGTTACCACACACACCTGTCAGGTATGTTCTAGTTTCCAACGTTACCACACACACACCTGTCAGGTATGTTCTCGTTCCCAACATTAACACACACACACACACACACACACACCTGTCAGGTATGTTCACGTTGCCAATATTACCACACACACACACACACACCTGTCAGGTATGTTCTCGTTCCCAACATTACCACACACACACACACACACCTGTCAGGTATGTTCTCGTTCCCAACATTACCACACACACACACACCTGTCAGGTATGTACACGTTGCCAATATTACCACACACACACACACACACCTGTCAGGTATGTTCTCGTTCCCAACATTACCACACACAAACAAACCTGTCAGGTATGTTCTCGTTGCCAATATTACCACACACACACACACACACACACACACCTGTCAGGTATGTTCTCGTTCCTAACATTACCACACACACTTGTCAGGTATGTTCTAGCTTCCAACATTACCACACACACACACACACACACACACACCTGTCAGGTATGTCCACAATCCTAGTTCATAAAATTGCATCTACACTGTATGATTCATTGCCCAATATTCTGAGAGGCAGATCCTGCACTGGTTACTGAGACGTGTGCTGTGGATACCAGGACCGACAGAGTGATTAACGACGACCTCGTGGAAATGACTGCTGAAATTAGAAAATTATATACAACTACAAGACTGAGACAGTCTGTGTGGTTTGGTCATGTGATAATAATAGAGGCTTTGGAGCGAATCGTAATGACCGGAGGAGCAAACGTAGAAGATGCAGAAGCCTGGGCAGACCAAGGGAGATGATGCTTGATGGTCTGAAGTCACAGCATGGATGAAATAGTATCAGTCGCCAGGGCTCATCTGGAAGTTCTTCGTCGCCAGGGCTCATCTAGATGTTCTTCGTCGCCAGGGCTCATCTGTGAGTTCTTCGCCACCAGGGCTCATCTAGTTCTTCGTCGCCAGGGCTCATCTAAAAGTTCTTCGTCGCCAGGGCTCATCTAGTTCTTCGTCGCCAGGGCTCATCTGGGAGTTCTTCGTCGCCAGGGCTAATCTAGTTCTTCGTCGCCAGGGCTCATCTGGAAGTTTTTCGTCGCCAGGGCTCATCTAGTTCTTCGTCGCCAGGGCTCATCTGGGAGTTCTTCGTCGCCAGGGCTCATCTAGTTCTTTGTCGCCAGGGCTCATCTGTGAGTTCTTCGTCGCCAGGGCTCATCTGGTTCTTCGTCGCCAGGGCTCATCTGGGAGTTCTTCGTCTCCAGAGCTCATCTGGGAGTGTCTCCACTGTGAATTTTACCAGTTAACTGATTCATTCAGCTCCTTATTCATTGAACAATTAATTAATTAGTGGTTTAGATAATACAATCTTTCATTCATTAAGCTATGCATTTATTGATTCACTAATTAATTTATTCATTCATTTAGCTACTCATTCATTTATTCATTCAGTTAGTCATTGAGTCATTGATCATTCATTCAATTATTCATTCATCATTGAGTCCTTTATCATTCATTCATTCATTTATTCCTTCATCCTTCAATTATTCATTCAGTTGTGCATTTATTCAGTGGGTTATTCGTTCAGTTAGTCATTTATTCAGTCTCATGAATTTCAAATGCAGCCCTGACACTTAAAACCAACAAGAACTCAGGGCTCTCCACCCACTGGTATTCACTGGCTACCTTTTGCGTCTAGTTTCCTACACGAGGATGTAATCCATAGGCCGCGCACCCACCGATGCGCCGAGGACAAGTCCAGGTCGTCCGAGGACAAGTCCAGGTGGTTCGAGGACAAGTCCATGTGGTCCGAGGACAAGTCCATGTGGTTCGAGGACAAGTCCAGGTGGTTCGAGGACAAGTCTATGTGGTCCGAGGACAAGTCTATGTGGTCCGAGGACAAGTCCAGGTGGTCAGATGACAAGTCCATGTGGTCCGAGGACAAGTCCATGTGGTCCGAGGACAGGTCCATGTGGTCCGAGGACAAGTCCATGTGGTCCGAGGACAAGTCCATGTGGTCCGAGGACAAGTCTATGTGATCCGAGGACAAGTCTATGTGGTCCGAGGACGTCTATGTGGTCCGAGGACAAATCTATGTGGTTTGAGGACAAGTCTATGTGGTCCGAGGACAAGTCCAGGTGGTTCGAGGACAAGTCCATGTGGTCCGAGGACAAGTCTATGTGGTCCGAGGACAAGTCTATGTTGTCCGAGGACAAGTCTATGTTGTCCGAGGACAAATCTATGTGGTCTGAGGACAAGTCCAGGATGTTCGAGGACAAGTCCATGTGGTCCGAGGACAAATCTATGTGGTCTGAGGACAAGTCCATGTCGTCCGAGGACAAGTCCATGTGGTTCGAGGACAAGTCTATGTGGTCTGAGGACAAATCTATGTGGTCTGAGGACAAGTCCAGGTGGTTCGAGGACAAGCCCATGTGGTTCGAGGACAAGTCCAGGTGTTTCGAGGACAAGTCCAGGTGGTTCGAGGACAAGTCCATGTGGTTTGAGGACAAGTCCAGGTGGTTCGAGGTCAAGTCAAGGTGGTTCGAGGACAAGTCCAGGTGGTTCGAGGACAAGTCCAGGTGGTTCGAGGACAAGTCCAGGTGGTTCGAGGACAAGTCCAGGTGGTTCGAGGACAAGTCCAGGTGGTTCGAGGACAAGTCCAGGGGGTTCGAGGACAAGTCCAGGTGGCTCGAGGACAAGTCCAGGTGGTTCGAGGTCAAGTCCGGATGGTCCGCTGATACATAATTCTGGTTAATCATGTCACGTGGTGGGATAGGCGGTAGTTTTTTTCAAGCCTCAAGGGTTTCCTGTTTGTGTAACAAGACTTTGTTAGACCTGTCAGTACTATACGGAAAACAGAGAAATCGAATGCATGTTAATGCAACGCTTAGTCTAACATAATCAACGCTCAAGCTTCATACATCATTTTTTTTTAACTTTCAGTCGCAGTAAATATGTAACACTGGATTTAACCAATGAACTGCGATCTACATTTGTTTGTGTTTTGTGATTGGTTATCTGTCAGGTCGAGTCAGAAACAATTTCTTCCATTGGTGGATCGTGGGTGTAGAACGGTTGAGGATGACTAATGTAGCCAATCTAATTTCGACCATCTTTCATCGCCTTTCGCGAGATGCTTGACAGGTTACAGTATATCTGTTCATTGCCTTTTCACTGAGCCTCGGTCACTCGCTGACTATCATTGACTCAAGAGAGCAACCACTGCATCTTTTATTTAAGAAACCATTCTTGCCTGGCAACACAGCTTAGAAATATTGTCTTGACCGCCTGCCTGAAATCAGAATGCATGAAAACATTGATGAAGAAATTGAATCCTGACTGTAAGGTCGGTAGGACAGTAATAAAATTTAACTCGTTCTTGTCGAGCCCAGGAGCGTGTCTGTAGACGAGGCTGCAGACGACAGTAGGCACTGTCATTGCCGCGAACGAGCCGGTCATAACAATCAAAAAACGAACAGTTTTTAAAAAGTGTTTAAAGTTTTCTTCGTTGAGTCTGGCCGAGGTATTACCTTGTCGGTTTGTGTCGGTGACTGAGGTATTACCTCGTCGGTTTGTGTCGGTGACTGAGGTATTACCTCGTCGGTTTGTGTCGGTGACTGAGGTATTACCTCGTCGGTTTGTGTCGGTGACTGAGGTATTACCTCGTCGGTTTGTGTCGGTGACTGAGGTATTACCTCGTCGGTTTGTGTCGGTGACTGAGGTATTACCTTGTCGGTTTGTGTCGGTGACTAAGGTATTACCTTGTCGGTTTGTGTTGATGACTGAGGTATTACCTTGTCGGTTTGTACTGGTGACTGAGGTATTACCTTCTCGATTTGTGTCATTGGCTGACGTTTTACCTTGTCGGTTTTTGTTGGTGACTGAGGTATTACCTTGTTGGTTTGTGTTGGTGGCTGAGGTATTACCTTGACGGTTTGTGTTGGTGGCTGAGGTTTTACCTTGTCGGTTTGTGTTGGTGGCTGAGGTATTACCTTGACGGTTTGTGTTGGTGCCTGAGGTATTACCTTGACGGTTTGTGTTGGTACCTTGTCGGTTTGTGTTGGTACCTTGTCGGTTTGTGTTGGTACCTTGACGGTTTGTGTTAGCGGACGATAGCACGGCGAAGTTGAGGGAAGCTATAGATCGACGATGCTTCAGCGACAGAGCTGCTATTCGAAAATAAAAAACCACTATAAATAATAGAAGCAGAAGCGTTATTATACAGCCGTAGAAGACAACATCTTGAGACATTAAATCTCTGAAGATACATAAACTGCTCCCTTTGAAAATGATAGCCCATAAAATGATCGAAAGAATGGCTAACAACCATAAACCTAAAACAGTTCGGAGAATCAGTTTTTCATTGACATGGGTAAAGTAGAGAAAGGGATGAACAATGAAAATGTATCTATCTATGGCGATGACAGAGATGTGCAGATATGCGCTCATTGTGGTTCCCATAGTACAGGCAGTCACTGATGAGTAGGCGTACCGAAACATCCAGTCCGAGGGCTTGACAAGAGCCAACACGAGGCCTGTTGTGAAGTTGACGCATCCAACAATGGTGTCTGTGGCAGCGAGGGACAGGACGAAGATGTTGGAGATGTTGTGAAGAGTCGGGGTTCGGATCAGCACTATCATCAGCAGAATGTTCTCCATGACGATGATGGTACCGGAAGTGACGTAGACAGAGACCAGCCATATTGGCGCTGAGCACTTTTCGTTGTCGCTTATGCTGTCGTTCATTTCATTCGTCCACACCGATTGCAGTTTTTTGCTGCTGCTGCTTCTGTTTCTGCTGCTCTTTGCCGTTGATGTTGCTGCTGATGCGACTACTACTGCTGCTGCCTCTGCTACCACTGCTGCTGCTGCTACTGTTTCTGCTGCTCTCTGATGCTGCTGGTGCTGCTGATGGGAAGACTACTGCTGCTGCTACTGCTGCTGCCGATATTGCTGCTACCGCTACTGCTGCTGTTTCTGCTACCACTACTGCTGCTGCTGCTACTGTTGCTGCTACCACTACTACTGATGCTGCAACTGTTGCCGCTGTTGCTACCACCACAATTGCCGCTGCTGCTCCTATTGCTCTTGCTACTGTTTCTGCTACCACTACAGTTGCTACTACTACTGCAGCTGCTATTGCTGCTTCTGCTGTTGCTGCTACCACTACTACTGCTGTTGCTGCTACAACTACTGCATATGTTGCTGCTACCACTACTGCTGTTGCTGCTTCAACTACTGCTGCTGTTGCTGCTACTACTACTACTGCTGCTGCTACCACTGCTGCTGCAACTACTTCTTATTTTTCTCTCTTATTTTTTCATCTTCCTCTTCTCTTTCTTCTTCTGCTTGTGTTCCTCTTTCTGTGCCCCTCCTTCTCGTTCCTCTTCAGATTTCCACATCAATGCCCCTACTAAAAGCAGAAATCCGTTTCAGTTCCCCACAAATCTCGTAGAGGTTTTAATCCAGTCAGTCTAATGGAATCGTAACAAGATGACAAGACCCTGTCGAGAAGGTTGATATCGAACATGTCATGCATAGAAGGAATGCTATTCGTCGGTGCGCCCATCGGTTGGAGCACATATCGCTCTATCATACCATAAAGCAAATCATTTGGAGTCATTACTCGTACAGTAGTTCACATTTATCTACATGATAAAAAAAGTTTCTGGCCACCGGTTCACAGAAGTGACGTCACGATACCCGGGACACGTCCTTTAGCAATCGTTCTCCAGCGTCAGCTATAGAAATGTGTTAGCTCACCTCGCACTCAGGTTGGTACACACGTCCGCACAGTCTTTAAGCAGTATTAGTTTCCGATTAAATTTGAATGACACCCAGTTATAAGTTTTTAAATATGTTCACACATAACATAGAAATAGTTTGAAGAATAACTATATCCGGTGCACGCCTAGCACATAACAGTTTCCCAGGGCTTTAGAAATACAACTGAAAGTGTCACCTTCTCTATTCAGTGCGTGCCTGGAGAATAACACTCTCCAAACTGGTTTAACAGGCCTACTCAACGTGTTATCTTGTAATATGCTCTCAAATATTTTAGGAGTGCAAATTTCAGTGCCATTTTGTTGAAATGGTGAGATCACAGCCTACTCGGTTCCATCAATAAACTATCCCCAGTAGAGATGGGAGGTAACCCCGATTAAGGGAGGCTATCGTAGATTTAGATTTGTCAGTAGAAGCCATGTTTTCTATCTGCATATCTGAGTGTCCATAATTGTATCGCTGTTTGGTTAAAAAGCTTATCTGAGAGCTGTGTAAACTTTTCATGTTGCCAGTACGTTGTCATTGTCCTGTTTAGAGACATCAATGAGGGAAAGTAGCTGATCTAGTTATTACGTCACGAGATTGTGAATATACCTTCAGTGCATGTATTAAGGAAACTCGTTTAGGGGCGACTTCAGCTGTGACACAATTACGTCCTTTTCTTGACGTAATTTTTTGTTATTTGAAGCCCCACTCTGGCTTTTGCCAGGGGCCGCAATTTAGGCAGGCCATAAATATGGCCAATTGTCTGAACGCGGTTTCTGGGACCTCTCCACGGTGATCCTCACCCACATGGTGGCAATTTGTGTCATCGGGTGTTTATCGCTTGTGTGATGTCCTGGTAGGGTAGAAAGTCAGTCAGTCAGTTTAGGGGCTACATCCTCTGCTACACTTTTCAGGATGAAATTGTTTTATTTGAAGCTCCACCCTGGCTTTTGCCGGGGTCAGCAATATAGGCAGGCCATAAATATGGCCAAATGTCTGAACGCGGTTTCTGGGACCTCTCCACGGCGATCCTCACCCACATGGTGGTACTTTGTGTCATCGGGTGTTTATCGCTTGTGTAATGTCCTGGTGGAGTAGAAAGTCAATCAGTCAGTCGCTTAGGGGCTTCACTATTATTGGTCCGTCACAAGGGATGAGAACCACTCTTTCTTCCATCCGTCCTGAAACCATAGTTGATTGTCTGTGAGCCCGGCAGAGACTTATTAGCCCAGTACTACATTCAGAGACAGACAGACAGTGGGAGTGACGGAGAGAGACAAGACAAACAAACATTTAGAGACAGACAGAGATGGAGAAACGGAGAGAGACAAGACAGACATTTAGAGACAGACAGAGAGACCACACAGACAGAGATGCTGTACGCAAGGCCGGGAAGGGACCCGGTGTGGATAGTCTTACAATCACAGAGAGCAGGTTCAACTGTACACCTATAAGGCTTGGTTATATTGGGACATCTCTAAAAAAAGGAGGCAGCTGAACAGCCAAGACAGGTTAGAAAGACCCGTATAACAAACAGATCCTTTACCTACAGACACTGTTCCCTGCCGTCATTTCCCTAAATCCTTAAACGCTACTGTCTTGGCGGTTCAGCTGCCTCTTTTTTTGGAGATGTCCCAGTATAACCTGCTCTCTGTGATTGGTTCCTGTTTGAATCTATCAAAATATTGAACCCTTCTACTCACTGGTGTCAGTTTGCCAGGCTGCAGTCCCAAGGGGACTAACCTGGAACCCGAAAGCAAGAGCTGCAAGACTGACCACACCGGGTCCCCTCCCTGCCTTGGGTACAGCATATCTGTCTCTGTCTGTCTGTGTGTTCTCTCTCCGTCTCTCCCTCTCTGTCTGTCTGTTCTCTCTCCGTCTCTCCCCCTCTGCTGTCTCTGAATGTCTGTCTTGTCTCTCTCCGTTTCTTCATCTGTCTCTGAAAGTTTGTTTGACTGGTCTCTCTCCGTCACTCC